AATAATTTTAAAATGTGCAAATCCCTGAGCTTTATTTCCTGATTTTTAATTCTTCTACGATAGCTGAGGCAACTCATTGTCCTGCTGTCTTTTTATTTATTTAATGTTTTAATTGATTTTTTAGAGAGAGCGGAAGGGAGAGGGAAAAATAGAAAATCAGTGATGAGAGAGAATCATCCATCGGCTGCCTCCTGCACACCCCCTATACTGGGAATTAAGCCAGCAACCTGCGTATGTGCCCTGGCGGGAATCAAACAGTGACCTCTTGTTTCATGAGTGGATGCTCAACCACTGAGCAACACCTGCCGAGCTGTCCTCCCATCTTTTTAGAGCCTGAGCCCTTTCTTCTGGTCCCTTCCATTCACCCTTGGGGAGCATGCTGGGAACCCGAGCCCAGAGGCCGAGTAGTGCCCCTAGGAAAAAGAGCCACAGGGCAGCAAAGGCCAGAGCTGCCTCCAGGGCAGGAGCATGTCTTAGAAGCAGCTCCCTCACCTGATTTCACATACAAAAGGCCTGTAGGGCAGGGCTGGCTGAGACCATACCTGTCTCCAGACAGCCTTTATTCTAGCAGCTCTAGAAGCAGCTTCCTGGTCCCAAATCCTCCACTGCCACCATACAGCTGCCACCTCCAGCTGTCACTGCCACCACCCAGCACATGTGGGCAAATCTGCTTGTGTGGGGTCAAGAGTCTTTTGCTGGCCTCACTAGTGGGACATGGAATTCCACAAAAGTGACTTGGGTAGCATACTGCCATTACAAACACACATTCTGAAGTATTCCTTGAAAGCAATATTAAAGAACCTAGGGATGGACAGAGAGCAATAGAAAATAATCTGCCAGCATGTAATACAATATGATTTTCAAAGGCTATAATTTTGTAAGGATCTGATTGTACATAAACTACGTTAGCCATATAATGACTTTAAAGTGAAACATTGATAAATCACACAAAAATTCATTATAGATTATGATCAATTAATCATAAGGACATATGTCTTAAATTTAGTAAGAGTTAAATATTTTTAAACAACCCTTCAGACTCAATATGCCCTTTAACGAATTCTTTCTGATGACAACCCTCCATGGAAAACGCCTGTCACAGTGGCCACACAGCAACACGCACCTGCATGAACAGCGTTCTGAGCTGTATTAGATCAAAGCCCTCATTTTCAAACGTGGCTGCATCCCCCATGTGAGTAGGCAGATTCACTGGAACCCACATAGCATGGTTTTGGCTACCAGACACCAAAGTGGACGGCAAAGCCAGCAGGTATTTGAGGAGCATATCTGTCCCAAGACCCCATGGTGCACTTTTACATGGTTTATGAATCTTCCGCAAAGTCCCACTGACTTCATTTCACCTAAGAATGATCGCAGGTAAAACAAGATTTTAACAAACTCATCTTTGAAATCTTGTCAACCAAGAACTCCCCAGAAACCGTTCAAGGTCAACCCCTTTCAGCACAACCAGACACTGTCATTTTCCCCTCTCATCCAGAGTGCCAAGAAGCTTACAGCATTTTCTCCGTAAGAACATAAAATGTGTAGTCACTTAGCTGTCCCAGGCATGGACACCTAAAGCCGTGGCATCATCAGAATCAGTGTTTAGAGCCAGCTGGAACCTAATGAAGAGTCCTAGGAAGCAATCTTAACACTGCTAAAGAGGACAGAGGGGTGCAGAGTGACAGGCTCAATACTCACAGAAGATTCCACGGACAAAATTCAACCACGTGGAGATGTGGCATTCTAGTTATGAGATTGGTGGATGTGTATTACTCTATATAAGCCTTTTCTGCAGGCTGTTTTCCCCTTATTAACATAACGAATGCATGAAAGAAGTTCAATGTTATCAGCTCCACCAAAAGACCACAATTCTAAAGCCACTTGTGAATGTTTCACTCACCAAACTTATAAGCTAAAAGGTCTCTCAACTTGCAAATTCACAGGTCAAATTTACACATCTTTCCAGAGGTAAATTTTTATTTGTAAAAGCACTTTAATAATACATTTCTCTAGATAACATTCAAGTTCCAGAGGCTAATTCAGCTTTGTCTAGAGAGGGGGCATCGAAACCAGCCTTTCTTTCCCATTTCAAGGTTTTCTCTCTGCCACAGTCCCTATCCAACCCATCTTTCTAAAAAGAAATATCACTGTTTCCCAAACTTCAATGGGTCCTCCTTGCCCACAGAAAAGTCAAAACCCACGTTCCTGTCACCTGAGCAGAAAAAACTGCACTGCGTTTAGCTGACCTTTGCCAGACCCTTAGTGACTATGCACTGTCACACACGAGCGTCGTTCTCAATACCCTACACTTTGGGTCTCCATTCCAACAAGCCCTGTATTTGCATCAGTTACTCATTCACTTTTTTACTGCTGCTGGACACTCCCCAAGGAGAGGGATACACAGCATTAACAAACATATATCCAACGTGCCATTTAAGAAGTATTAAATGTTGAACTGCACTTGGCCATTCAGTGCCTTGGCCCTTCTCTGTGATGGAGGAACACCCCATTCCAGTGTCACCCCTAAGTCCAGGCCCTTTTCCTTGTAACAGCTGGCTCCCTTTCACAAACCAAACCAGACATATTTCAGTCAGTTCTTGCCTTCACCAAGAAAGGTAGCCCAAGTACCCCACTCCCCCTTCCCAACTAACCCTAACATCACTCCTCCTTCTATTCTCTCTGCTAAATTCATCTTCTTTCCCCACTCAATACTTCCCATTGGCCAAAAGTAACACAACAATAACAAACGACTCTATATCCTGTACTTAAAAACAAATCAGAGGAGTGGGATGGGGAGTGGTACCGAGAAGGAAAGGAAAGAGAGATGCCTACTGAGTTGTCTCTGAAGCTAAGGCCTCTTCCACTCATCTCAGCCATGTCTGAAGAGGAATGCTGGCGTGCCTTCCTCTTCCTTTCCTTTGCATCCCCCGGTGCCTCTCCCACCCGATCTAGAGTCTCACAGAGCCCATCTGAGTCTTCCCAAGCGTATCACCCATCTCCCTTCTTCTCTGATCACTCCATTCCAAGGCCCTCCTGCCCCAGCTAGAGAGCTGGCCTGCTGCCGGCAAGCTGACCTGGCATTTCTCTGTGAGATAGCGCTGGGCCTGCGGTGTGGTCTACACACTCAGCCCTTCACTACAAACTGCCTCTCTCTTGCTTATGCTCAGAGGATGCCAGTCCATTAGTGAATACCTACCCCTGCCCTTTGCTTCCCCTACTGTCTGCTAACAGGACAGCCTCTCCCAGGCCAGCAGGACACCTGCAACACCAGGTACAAAAGAACTGACGAGGAGGGAGGGAGCACGCTGCATGTTGCTAGCTGTGCATTCCAGTATTTTTAAACTGCAGACCTGCAGCACGGCAGAAAAGATTAAGACTCATTTCCTGAGAGTACCTGCAGCTCACTGCGACACAGAACTTCCTGAACTGGAGGGCAAGGACAAAGCAGATGCCAAGGACTCACACTGCCCACTGCTGAGGGTGTGAACGAAGCACACCACCCACATTCAGGCTACTGTGAACACTGCAAAGGGGAGCTGCCCTGAAATTCACCTGAGGGACCCCAGGTTGAGATCACTAAAAACGGCTGAGAATTCTGTTGTATAAAGAACTATGTTCCTGGAACACACAAATAAAAATAAGAATAGCCTTTCACCATGAAAACCAAAATGGTGATAGTGCTGAGGACATGTCAGGAAGTCCTGCACAGTTCTGTGTAGCACATGCATTCTAAGCCCAGCAAAGAACCAAAGGGGGAGGGAAGGGTTTCACAGCTGCAGAGCCAGGTGGCCTGGGTAGGCCAGCACGGAAAACTGACCAACCCTGTGCAAAGTAAGAAAGGTCCTTCTTTTCTGAGCATATGAATCATGATGCAAGGAAAAAGTGAGAGTATGTACAAGGTGAGAAAATGTACATCAGGAGCATACTGGGCCTCTACAAAGCATGCCCGCTGACAAACTGGCCCTGACCGAGGCAGCTAGAGGCGGCCCTTTGGGGTCTGCACCACCTTTTCCAGCTACAGTCGCACAAACAGCCCAGCACCACTCTCAGCACAGCTGTCCTCAAGCAGGGGTAGTGACAGCCAGATGCTTCCTTTTAAAGGCTTACAGAAATCATAACTTTGTCATAGTAAAAAGGACAAGTTAAGAATCTATGGACCTGAGTTTTCAGCATTGCTAGAATCTCTGTGGTTAAATTCCAAAGGTAAGCCCCACTCGTACACCCGTCCCTGAGGGGGTCAGCTGCACCCATCCCCCAGGTCTGCACTGACCTGGCCCCATGCAGGTCACTACTTCTCCTTAGTAGGCGGACAAGACTGTAGTCTACAACTTCACAGTTCATAATATTCTTATATCAGACTATAAATTTTGGAAAACTTTTCTATATTGCCTACTAAATATACAATGACTTTTGTATTTGCTATTAGAAGATAATATTACCTAGAACAAAAAGGCACTTTTACTAGAAGATGGAAACTGCTTTGACCTCAATGTTTGCCAATGTTTGAAATAATACTTTTTGTCTTTGTACTTCTCCCTCCAACCCAGAGTGGATCAGCTGGGATCTGAGGGAAACCATCACACACATGTGCCCTTTGGCATCGGGGCTACGTGAGCAACACACCAACCACACAAAGTGGTGAGCGCACAGCTGGTGGGACCTCCCAGGAACACTGACCTCTGCAGAGCAGACCCTGCCGTCACCCTGCTTGAGACACGCTAACCACAGCAGGACAGTGACGGTCAGGGCCATTTGCAGATCAGTTTAAGGCATAACCTACAGTTTTAACATTTTACCAAATAACCACTATTACTGGGATGTTACTGAGAGAAAAAGCTGGTGGCTGTCCTCCTTTCCTAAGAGCCCAAATGAAGCCCACCTTCGCTGCGAGGGGGCACGCAGGGTGATCTCAGTCATGATCCTTCTAAGGCTTTAGAAAATGCACATGAGATTATGAGGAACCGAGGAAAACAAACAATGGATTTTACAGTACATACATTCTGGTGGAAGTCTGTTCTTTCTAAAAGCAAGTCTCTCAGTTTTCTTTCTGCTTTCTGCCAAGCTAAACAGGACTCCGTAAACATACTGACGAACTGGCCTATAGAGCAGGGCGGCGGGAGGCAGGTCTTTGCTGGCTTCATCTTCAATAGAAACAGCAATTTTGATTTCACCCTTTGCATGGAAGAAAGCAGAATAATATTGCACATTTTTCATGTTGAATTTACAATAAACTCAAAGAAATATACTGTATTATCTCCAGTTAATGACATTGCAATTCTATTCCAAATCAGTTACTTCACAACTTGTCTACATCAAGATTTTTAGGGAGAGTTCATTTAGTAGGTTGTAGCCAAAACATATGCTCAAAGAGTCAAAATAAAATCTACATGGTTTTATTTTCAATCTAGAACCAACAACAAAAGAAAACCACATGACTGATCCCAAAGTCTTTGAAACAATCTAGACAGAAAACATCAGATGGCAAATAGGATAGAAAATGCTGAGAACTTGCAAATTTTATTTGAGTCAGGATGGTCATATGTAATGGAATTCGTAATTTTTAATGACCTACATGAAATCCAAGAAACTAGTATCCTGAATATAAAATGGTCAATTTTTCTTTACCAATTTCTTCCATTAAAAATTACCACATAGAACTCTCTGTAATGCTGTTTATTTGTAAAGTTTTCGGCATGTAGCAGGCCTCCACCCTAGTGCAGCCGGTACTTGAAAGACTTATCTCACTGGGTGAGGGGGCGTGACAGCTGCTGCGATAGAACATGAAGGGCGCCCGTTCTGTTCACGGTCCCAGGCCAGCGGGGCAGGGCCTTCACCTTGGTGCAGGACCATGCCTCCAGGAGACAAATGACTACTGTGATCATAAGCAAAAACTCTGTGGTCCAGCCCTGGATATTTTGTGGCATTGAGGTACATCAAGAGATTTTGCAAGGAATTTTATTTACATATATTTATAACAGAAAAATATATTTATGACCTTCAATGTCTACTAAATTTATTCATATATCTCTTTTAATAATAATTTCATAACAGTTGCTGTTTCTTTCACACACATTTAACTTCAGAACTGGTCTTTCTCCTGACCCTCAGAACCTTCATATGCTAGCATGGCGAGCACTCTCACCTAGGGAGTACCAATTCCTTCAATACGATGAGCTTTTAAACTCTACATTCCTACAAAGCTTCATCACAGTGAGATGGCCTCCGCGTAGACAACTTGGTAACAGAGGTGTGAGCTGACTGAAAGCAGCAGGCCTTCCAGTCTAAACTTTTCCCTAATACACTGAAAAATTTTAGGTGACATTTTAAAATCAGAAAAGACAGTCAAGTTTACTTTTCTTAACCACAATCATTTTTATGAAAATTTGCCCTTGAAATCAGTGAGTAATGAAGATGAGCAGTTTGCAGCACTCATATTGATCTAACAGATCGCCCAGCCATACCCACCAGCGTGGCAGGGCACACACAGCAGGGCCCAGGGACTTTATATCCCAAACAACACCAGGGGGAAAGGGCACAATCTTCTGAAAACCTTGGTCCCTTTAATTTAGCAAAATACTTATCCATCAACAGTAACTTTTCACTTACCCTTACAACTTATGTTGAACCTGAAAAATAAAATGTTTACTTTACAATCACAATTTCAAAAGTGATACTTAATACACGGATACCCATATCAAATAATAGCTGAGATTTGGAGGTAATTACAATTTAAAAATAAACTAAAAGAGTTGAGTAAATAGTACTGGTCTAAATAGTCTTTGGCTTATAAACGTAAGCAATGTTGAATTAGTTAACAATCGAAGCCCAGCTGGGGGTGCTGTGGAACAGGAGTAACTTTTGCATTCGCTGCCTCCCTTTTACAAACCATAGATGGATTGCAGAAAATAGAAAGAAAAAAGTCTGATTATACAGGGTGGTATAGATGCTGATGAAAACATTAAAAACACATATAGTAATAAACCAACTCTGCATGAAAAGTCTGGTCACCAAGATAACTTGTTAAACTATGAGTCTGTGATAATAAGTACCAAGATAAAGACTACAAATCATTGAAGAAATTTAAATACACATAGATCCATTCAAGACACCAAGAATCAAAACCAATTAATGCCATACTGAATAACTATTTAAGCATGCATTTAATAAGACTAACAACGTGAAATTATTACACTATGTAAAAAGATAAATTGCATTTTCTTACTATGATTATGTTACAACCCCTGTATTCCATTTTTTGCTAGAAGTGCTTTAAAAATCATACTCAATGAGATGGAAGAACAAGTCAAAATACACAAAGTCCTCTCAGCCACCCACACAAGGGGGCATTTCTGGGGCTGATAACCATATTCGACATTGGAATTAAACCTGACATTATGGCACAAATGCAGTGTAAGAAATTTTGAAATTAGAAATAGAGAATAAAATTACAAGTCAGAAAATAATGTGATGTGTCATTAATTAGAAGTTTCAGAAATATTTTATACTACATTGAAGGAGAAAATGAGACTTTTCCCAAGTTCTTTTATTGTATTTACAAGTATACATTTTTGTTATTTTTACTCAAAGTTTAGAAAGGGGAAAATGAATTCTGTTTCAAAAAATGTATAAGATAGAAAAACAGTTCCAAAGCAAGCAGCCATACCCCAGGAGTGACCACTGCACATACCTTTGTCAGGACGTGGAAGATGTACGGGTACATCAGCCCCTTCTTGTGACGGTGCTCGGCTACTCTCAGCACCTCGGGTGCAACAGGGGGCAGAGGAGGGGTGGTGATGTCCATGTGGTTCCTGGTGGGCATGGAGAGGAGGCATGGAATTGGCTGGACAGTGCCAATCTGGCTTCCCTTTCCTTCAGCAAGCTGGCTGCCTGAAGAGGCAGTGGACGAACCTTCTACCTACAGAGCAATGGGTGAAAGAGGAAAACAGGGTCACGCCATGCTGTCTGTCCACCTGTGACACAGAGTCCTGTCTAGAGACACAATTAACACCTTCACCACCGGAAGACAAGGGAGCACTGACCCACCCCTGTGTGGACAGAGGGAGAGGTGAGTGGATGCCCACCTGCCTGTGTTTAGGGGTGAGGGGTGGGGGCACCATAGCTTTTCCCTTGAGTGCCCTGTGGGGAGACAGTAGCTTTCTGGGCTTGCTAACCCATGTGGCGAATTTCTGTTTACACTTTCCTTGCAGACTCTGCCTAACACCAAGTAGGCATGGTCCTCTCTACAGATGAGGAAACTAATGCTCAGAGAGAGCATGTCATTTACCCATGGCTATGTGACCAGTGACTTGTGGAACTAGACTCAAATCTAGGCCTGACTCAGCTCTGTTCTTCACCACCACAGCTGGTATCTAAAGAATAATCAAAAGCCCAAATGGTTTGATCATTATAAAGCCCCAAATTAATTACACACAGGAAGGTGTTTATGAAAAATTAAAGCAAAAAACAAGCTAATTCCACTAAAATGGGTGAGTCATATCTATATATACTGACACAGAAATCTGTGCCTGGTATATTATTAGTTGAAAACTCCCCAGACTGTAAAAATTACCTGCCAAAATAAGGAATGTGTATAAATAAATAGGAATGAGAGTAGAGCATCGAAAGGCAGTGGGACCAAGGGAAGGGAAGGCAGAGGGGGCTCTTAGTTTTCTCTTTATAAACTTTGGCAAAGTCTGAATTATTTATCAAGAGCAATTATTATTTGTACAATAAATTATTTTTTTCTTTCTCACAATAAATGTTGGAAATAATACTGCTTATTGTTTGATTCTATGTCACCCTAGATATATATTTTTCTGTTATGAAAAAAAATAATGCATTCTTTACAATGGTATGTAATTAAGTGCTGAATTTTACCCCTTAAAACACAAAGCGCCACACTTATTCGTAAGAAGAGCAATGCCTGGAAACCTCCGAGTGTTTCCCACAGGCCCCGTTTCACAGGATGCAGACACACTGGAAGGTGCTTGTAAACAAGAAGCATCCATGAAGCTTATTTATAGGACAATCATTCCACGGTGACAGTATTTCTGAGTTTTAAGTGGATTTCTGATATTTTGTCACCTTGTATGTAAACAAGCTTTTTCCAGCCAGAGACCTTGTCATCTAAGTGATTGCCTATAGGAACAGATGTGGCTTTGCAGTTAAAAAGATACTTCTATATATCACCATTAATAGCTACAAGCAGAAAAGGGGATAAGAGAAATGTAGTTTATTTTCATTTTTACTGTAGACATCACAATGCTTTCTCACTTAATCCCCACAAAGATTCTATAAGTTTGCAGTTGCCAACCTGTGGTCCATGAGGTCCGAAAGGGTGACGACTGCTGCTATAAGAGACAGGGCTCTGGACAGCTCTAGTGCTTGGCCAGACTAGGCAGCCAGCAGACAGGGTCAGATTTCCACCAGCCTCCTTCCCCTGACCCATATGACTGTGATTGCCCTTCCCCCTGCCAATGTCTGTGATCCGCCCCCCGCCCCCCTCAGCTCCCTGCCAATGTCTGTATTACTCACAATATACTTAAAAAGAGAAAGAGTGTTTTACTTTCAAACAATTCCTAATACCATATGCTGAAAGAGCCAGAACTCGAGAGAATGAGAGGCGTGAACCTACTACCTTTGTTTGGTCTCCTGGGTCTTCCCGCGCTTGAGGCTCCGAGTGGCTTCCTGTCTTCTCCCAGCCAATTTTGTTCCCACTGACATGGCTGAACATAAAATGCACATGATTACTGTTAGTGTCAACTACTTCCCACACATGCTCACGATGATAAGAAGGGCCTGTGTGACAGACTCAAGAATAACCCTTGTGCTGTACTAATCTCGCCGCCCCCAACAATCCATCTCTAAGAAGAACCCTACACAGGAGCACTTTCTGCCTATTTCCAACAGGTAGGTGATAACCACTCACTGTGGAAGAGAAAACAAGTGCCTAGCCCATGCCGACCACTCAGCTTAAAGATGGTCTAGGATGTGCTGGCGCCACGAGATACAAAAGACACAAATGCAACATTCCCTTTTATCTTGGAGAAACAAGATAAAAAAACCCACATTTAATTGACAATTGTCAGGCAGTAGAATGTTAAGTGTTATCTGAATCACATTACTCATAACTTATAAATAAATGTAAGGTATTCTGTGCCAAGTGGCCACACACAGGGAGGCCAGCCTCCTCATGGGAAGGGTCGTGGGAGGGAGCTAAGACTTGGGTGACACACAAGGCCGAGTCAGAAGTAGATGGTACCTTCCAGGCCCCAGAGAGGAAACAGGTTTGTGAGCTCAGACAACAGGGAGTTAACTGAACTTTATTTGGGGAATAACTTTACTTGGCAAAGTAGTAAAAAATAGGGTGAGGACAAGAGATGGGGAAGATTATGGAGTATCTGAAATGCCAGCATGAGGAGGTATTTCAAACAGCATTTTTTTTTAAACTGTGGGTTGTGACCCACTAGGAAAACAATCTAGTGGGTTTAAGCAGCATTTTTTAAACACTAAAATGGAACAGAACAGAATGCAGTGAATGCGGTATGAATGGTATTATTTCACAAATTCTTTGCTCATTTGGTCACTACAGGCCACAATGTAAGAGAAGTTTATGAGATGTAAGGGGTTTGTGAGAAGCATCCTCCTGGAGCAGCCAGAGCTACAGCCTTTGGCAGACAAGACAATGCCCCCATGGGGACAACGCCCCTTCACTCGCCCTCCCCTGCAAAGCTCTGGGCTAAGAGTACCTTCTAAAATCAGTGCTGGACACAGGCATGCTAGCAGAGCATTTCACTGGCTTGCCTTTCTTACTGACCCATGTGACAGATGGAGAGATTTTAAGACCCACTAATCCTCCTATCTTCCATAGGTACACATCCTGTCACAGGAGAACCCCGCAGCTGGGTCTTGGGCCCACCCTGCAGGAGACCCCAGGCCCCTCCTTGACACACTTAGTACATTCAGTCACTCAGTTAGCCTTTGAAAGGTAAGAGAGTGAACCTCAGCAGGTCTCACGTGCACTCTCTGATAACGATGAAGATAAGCACCTCTCCATGGGTGACATCTTTTGTGGCATGCCTTGTCAAATCATCTGAACATTTTCTACATGATACTTCTTACAGACTTATAGGAAGTCAGTACATGTTCTGGAAGCAAGCTCTTGGTCAGGTATAAGGATTAGAAGTATCTTCCATACCCTGTTGGATTGCCGCCCCTCCTTCTCCATGGTAGACTGGTGTTTATATGTGACGCCTCATCCTGAAGGTCTTGGCTGCAACACTATCCTAATGCAGCCTTTCCCAACCACCCCCTCACCCCACCATTCTCACTGCTGTTTCCTTCATGGCATGTATCACTTCCTCATGATCTGTAATTATTGTCTGTTTTAATAACTAATTATAAATTGTGAGAATAGGACCTAGTAGCCATCATCGAGCAGGTACCCAACTATTAAAGATACATGGCAAAGAAGACATCGCTTTTATGTGACACTAGAGGCCCGGTGCACGAAATTTGTGCACAGGTAGGGACCCTAGGCCTGGCTGGTGATCAGGGCCAATATGCGGGGCGACCAGCGGGGCAATTGGGGACCCCACTCACACAGCCTTGGCTGGCCTGGCACTGCCTGTTCGTCGGCCCCACCCTCAGCCGCCACCAGTTGGGGCCTGCGGGCTGGGGGCAGCTCCTGCTTTGAGTGTCTGCCCCCTAGTGGTCAGTGCATGTCATAGTGAACAGTCCTTCCGCTGCTCCTTCTGCCGTTTGGTCGATTTGCATATTAGGGTTTTATGTCTATAAAAATAGATATAAAACAGCAGAACAAGCATCCGAATGACCTTCTGAACAAAGCCGGGGCTGCGAGGGCCGAGGCAGCCAGAGCTGTGAAGGCCTACTCTTGCATGAATTTCATGCATCGGGCCTCTAGTAGATAGGTAGCACAACAAAGGAATGTTCATTAAAACTGCAGCCTCCAAATGTGACAGCCCTAGTGACTGGCCCCAGGGTCAATCAGCAAGCACACAGAACAGTGTGAGGAGGGGAAAGGGGTGTGGCAGGGGGCGTGGCTTGTTATAAAGTTTAGTTTTGTTCTATATAGATTATCACAAGCTAAAAATAAAATGTCATAATCAAGATGCTCATGTGACCGTCTAATAATCATTCTATAATATCTAAAATCTGCCTGAAAAGCATCTGGACATTAGCCAATTTTTTAAAGTTCAGAATATTTCAATAGGAAAACTATATTACTTCATAACGTAAGAAAACAAAATTTTGAATACAACAACAAATGCCTTGGCTTGAAGAACAAATGAATTAGAGATTTCAGAATATTTCTACATGCAATTCATTATACACAACTACTCACACCTCACAATCAGACCAGAAACCGCTCACATAGACACAAAGTTTCATTGACCATGCCCTGGGCAGCCTGCTGAGACCTGGGTCCAGGTGGGTGGCCCAAGCAGGAAGCCACCATGAACTCTCTGTTGAACTGTCCTGTACACCCCATACCCCAAAGGCATAACACAGCTATCACTTAGTGCAGTTACTCATCAGCTGATTTAACTCACAAACAACCCAGTGATCTCCCATCCACGCTGGGCCCACGGAGTCCAGTGAGCTCCAGGTCACATAGCAAGTGGCAATGGAACTTGGCAAGACCAGACGAGGGATGTTAGAAGAATTGGGCCCTGGCAGCAGTGGGTCTCCACGCTGGTCAGCAGTCCTCCGGGCACTGACAGTGACAGTCCACAGCCCACACACGGCCCCACAGGAGTTCTGCGGGGCCAGCAGTTTTTACCACAGATGCCACCTTGACACAATACCTCGAACCAACGTGTCCCAGTATGTCACTGTACAAGGAAGGAACTCTATTCAAACTAAACCAACAAAATGGAGAAAACTTAATCTATCTTCTCTCCTAATAGGACTTTTAAAATATCCATTTAGAAATGTCAGCAATGACAGGCAAAAACACTGAAGTGATATTCATTGTACATATGCAGTTACATTGATACACAGATCAGAAAGCATGCTTACAAAGTGGAGTATGAAATAGGAAGAAAAGGAAAAAGGTAAGCTGCTATTTCTAAGAAAATATTCCATTACTGTAAAAACCATGTTAGTTATGCAGTAAAAAATAAGATATTTGAATATTCACCTATCTTTTGAAAACAGTTATATCTCTATATGTGGAAACATTGGTGATTTCCTATATTCTATTTTTTAATGTTTCAATTCTATCACTTTGTATTGAGATGTTAATTACAAAAAAAAAATCAAACAAAGAATTAAATCTTCAAATTGGCAACCTCAGATCAGATTCAAATTCTAAAAGCCAATGAATCTAAAAGCCAATAAAATAAACATCCCCACAAGGATTCAATTGTAACTCTTTTTTTTTTTTGCTTAAAGTATTACAAAGGGTATTACATATGTGTCCCTTCTCCGCCCCCCCCCTCCCCCGCCCTTGACAATCCCCTGGCCTCCCCTCAATTGTAACTCTTAACTCAACCAAAACAGGATTACAAAGACTTGACAAAGGCCAGGAAGAGAAGAAAAACAAAAACACTGCCAAGAACAGAGTAAGAAATATATGTTGATTATACTCTAGAAAAAAGAACAGGAGAAAAATATTATTTAGTTAGAAAGCAGCATTTCTTTCTTATTTGCTTCAAAATAACAGCCATGGGTCTGGAATAACTGCCCAGGCACTCGCCTAGCCCTCGGACAGACACAGAGCCCCTGCAACAGCAGGAGGCTGCAATTTTGCACATGAGAATGGACACTCAGGATAGTTCCAATGGCACCAATGCAGCTCATCTCAGCCCTGGTGAGGGTACCCAGTTCACGCCCCTGTATACAAGGCACCTCTCAGTCCAGCACAGACCTATAAACTGCCCAGGGACACATGCCCACTTCAAGACAGTAAGAACCCGCGATGCCCATTCCAGCAGGGTGATGGAAAAGACATCTGAAGAGGCTAAAATCCTGAGTTAGGTATTTAAAAAAAAAGGGGGGGGGAGGTGGAGGAGATACAGAGTCCGCCCAGCACACACATATACATGTGTATATACATACACACCCATAGTGAAAGGGCCACTGTCTGAACCCAAAGACAAGCCAGGAAGCACTTTCACACCCAGCTAGTCCACAGGACACCTCAGCATGCACTTCCCTTCACATAAGAACATGCTTTGGAGTTGGGGCATGTTTCTGCCCTGGCCAACGTGGTTGCAATGCACCCTCAGACCCACCTCTGAGCTCAGACAGTGCAAACCTTCTGGGGAGTGCCCTCGACTCTCAGAAATCACAAGTGCCGAGGACCTGCCAAGAGAGCCAAGACCTCATGTCACACAAACTCTATCCACTTCCCTCACTGACCTTATTTTTTTAATAAATGTTTGCAAATGTCATAGGTTAAAAAAAAGTATCATGTTTGAAGTTGCATTCCTTTGATTTTCCTAGTGAGCAAGAACATCCATTCATATTTTATTGACCAACTGTGTTTCCTCTGACCTGCATGTTTATATCCTTTGCCATTCAAAACACTTGTCTTTTTAATTTGTAGGAAGCTTTTTTTTCTGGTGGTGAGGGGAACAATTCTCTTTTATTCTATAACTAGAGGCCCAATGCACAAAATTCGTGCAAGGGGCTTGGCCCTCATAGCCACGGCGGCTTGCCTCAGCCCTCACAGCCTCGGCTTCATCCGGAAGGTCTAATTAGCATATTATGCTTTTATTATTATAGATAGTCCTATGACCCATCAGCACCATGCTTTAAAAAAATAATTGATGTCTGTTAGAGAAACAGTATCACTTACTAGTATTTTATGGACCCACCTGTGGAAAATACAGTGAAGGGAGTATAAATGCCAGAGGGAATCGAACAGGGAAAAGTGATAGGGGCCCTGGCTGGTTTAACTCAGGGTTTAGAGCAGTGATGGCGAAACTATGACACGCGTGTCAGAGGTGACACTCGAACTCATTTTTTTGGTTGATTTTTCTTTGTTAAATGGCATTTAAATATATAAAATAAATATCAAAAATATAAGTCTTTGTTTTACTATGGTTGCAAATATCAAAAAATGTCTATATGTGACACGGCACCAGAGTTAAGTTAGGGTTTTTCAAAATGCTGACACGCCGAGCTCAAAAGGTTCGCCATCACTGGTTTAGAGTGTAGGCCCGCAGTCCAAGGGTCACAGGTTCGATTCCCAGCCCCTGTCAGGGTTCATGTGGAAGGCAAGCAATCAATGTGTTTCTCTCACATAGATGTTCTCTCTCTCTCTCTACCACCGCCCCCCCTAAAAACTAATCAGAAAAAATATCCTTGGGTGAGAATTTTTTTTAAAAAAGTGATGAGGGATGATGAAGTGACAGAGAGGGACACACCCAGCTGGGTGGTGGCAGACTCCCACCTCTGCTATTGCACAAGTCAAATTCGTAAGTATAGCAACTACAAACATTTACAGTCAACCTGCAGAAGCTGTTACAAGAGGTGCTGAAGTCGGGTCGTGGAGTAATTTCCAGCTAAATGGCCTAGGCTCCCAAATACCTGTCCATCCCAAGGATAACGACACCAGATCAGAGCAAACTCATTTCCAAAGAATCATGGGATCTCTCCTGCCACAGGCCCATTCTAAGCAAGCATTGTGATAGTTCACGTCACACCGAGCATAGAGGTCAGACTCTTCATCATCCAGCCTCCACCTTGCTAGACCTGCTGGTCAAGCCACCTCTCCTTCCACCCTACATCTGTCCAGCTCTGTCCCTGCTGCCACAGCTCAAATCTCACCTCTCGGGGACGTGCTCCCAACTCCAGTCCCTCTTGTCCAGGGTGTTCTTCATACACTCATCACTTGGGCTGTTCACTTCTTTGCAGACTGCCTGCACCACACCTTGTCTGTACTGCCTGCCACCATGCTCACTGGTAGACACAGTGCTCAGGTGCTGCTTGGCTGAATGGATGATTTCTTTCCCTCAAGACCATCTGAAAATTGTAGATTCAGGGATCTTCATTCACATCCAAACCAAAGGTAACCAACCATATGTCCTGACTTTATGCTCTCACCGGATTTTGAGCTAGGAAAGCAACCCTCTATCCTATGCATGGCCTCAAGTGCACACACACGACACATTCAACGGGCTAGAACAGTGATGGCGAACCTTTTGAGCTCGGCGTGTCAGCATTTTGAAAAACCCTAACTTAACTCTGGTGCCGTGTCACATATAGAAATTTTTTGATCTTTGCAACCATAGTAAAACAAAGATGTATATTTTTGATATTTATTTTATATATTTAAATGCCATTTAACAAAGAAAAATCAACCCAAAAAATGAGTTCGCGTGTCACCTCTGACACGCGTGTCATAGGTTCGCCATCACTGGGCTAGAATCTTCGCCCTGAAATCAAGAACACTGACCTTCTTTTAGCATTCTGCCACAAGCAAGGACACCTATGACCAGGGCTCATCCCAGGTCCTACCATGCCTGGCACAGAATCCTGAAGCCTCAGGCACACGTACCCCATTTCCTCTTAATTTTAACTCTTCTGTCTCTCGTTGTTAAAATAAATGGGGAAGTAGATTCAAGGAAATTAAGACATTGCTAAGCTGCACTTGATCCACTCTTGCCCTTGCTAGCTGTTAATGTGCTCCACCACACTTCACATCACAAAGACGGCAGATGTTCCTGCTGACCCTACACTGAGTCCACTTTCCAGAAGCTTCTCCACAAAAGGCAGTGAAAACACCAAGTTGGGGTGTGGACAAGTGAGTTACAGCTCAAAGTGGGAGAGGTGACTGAAATCGAGGACAGTTTCAGGGAATGCGATGCTGGCCAGGACCTTGGGGAACAGGGTGGAACTGAATCTGTACCTAAGAAGGGAGGAGAAACTTTACTCACCCCAAGTTCAACTTACGTCTAACTGGGCAGTGTGCCAAATTAAGCTGCAGCTCGCATTATCTCTGAATCCCTACCTGAAAATACAAGGCTGCCACCACACCTCCCCATGCCAGGCCTCTGCTGGCTCCCACATTCGCCACCCCACAAAGCACATCTGCCTCACGTCTACCTGTGTTTCAGTCTGGAAAGAATGTTTCTTATTAAGACGACCATGTACTACACAGATGCCTTGACTTTGCTGACATGAGTCAACTTTTAAAAGAAAACTCATAGAATTCCAGAGTGGAAGGGGTTCAAGACATCTATCAGCCATTTTTAGACTTCCATGAGCTAAAGAGACACTGGTTGCTCATTTACACACACTGATTTCTGAGCCCCTGCCCAGAAATTCTCACTCAGTAGGTCTTAAATATATTTCCTTTCCAAAAGGTTAACTCAAAAGTTTGAATGTTATGACTTTTCACTTCATTTTAGGATTGCACATGCAGTAAGCGTTTAAGCATTTTATGCTTCTCTGCTTCAGACACCGCACAATCTCTGGATGACAGCGAACTCTTTGGTTACTGCCGCTTGAGGTCAGCAGACATTAGTGCCATTTTACAGATGGAGAAAAAGAGGACAAGAGAGGAAAAATCTACAGCATCAGTAACTTGCAGGAAGAATGGAAACTTGCACATTTCTTACAGCAGAAATCAATGTAGTACTAACTAGCCCATGGCATCTACCTGTTAACTAGAGTTCCAACCCAGGAAAAGGAGATAAGGCTATAAGAAAAGACCCTTTTTCTTTTCCTTTCTTCTTTCTTTTATTTGAACCAGGATTCTTAAACACATAAGGTGAAGTAAGGAGGGGAGGAAGACTGTCCATTTAAGACTTCCTCAATCAGATTATAACAAATTATGTACCTGAAAATTCATTTACTTAGGGGCATACGTTTAAAATACTCCTCTCTGGGAGAACTCCAGCCTGGGCCTGGCAGCTTTCTAGGGTTTTGGTTGGGTGAACAGTGTTATTTCAAGAAGAGTCCTATGAGTTGTTAAACTCAGCAAAAGAAATGCAAAGTTCCCACTGGTCCAGGAGCTGAGACTGAAAGCCTCAGGCGTCTAACCTAAAATGCTTCCTGGGATGGGGGTAGGGCAAGAACAGCAAGGAAAACCACAGAGTGAGGATCAGCAGCACCTGAGCAGACAACTTCACCACGTCTGGTGGTCACATCGACCAATTCTCCTAAAATTCCACCCCAGCAGAGGAACAAGGGGCCAAGGCCACGGCTGGCAGCAGACGTTCAGCGGGAATCCCTGTGAAAATGTCTAACCACCTCTCTCATCCCTGTCTGAGGAGCTCCCATCCCGGCACAGAGACCCTCACCTACCTGCTGCAAACTGCCTCTCTGAGCACAGCACTCGGTGCCACGGGCTGTGGCTTCCCCAGGGATGAGCTACATAACAAAGCCACCACTCACTTTGCAGCTCCTCCACTGCCTTCATCATTGTCTGAAGATGACGACGTAGAAGAACCAGGAAAGTACGCTGAGTCCACGTGATTGGGGCTGCCGCTCGGAGCGGGGTTGATCGGGGAAGATCTTTCATACAGTGGAGTATGTTTTCCTTCATGAGGAATGTTACTGTAGTTGTTCTGCTCAGTCAGATTCTTTCCGCTTGTTTCTAAAGGGAGGGCCGGCTCAGCGAGGCTGTAATGGTGTGGACCCTGACCCGGAGCACCTGGGTTGGGCCCCTGTGGAGCCTGAAACAGAGGGCAGAGGGCACAGGTCACACACCCACAAGCTGCCTACGGGACCTGGCTCCCGTTAGCACTGTGGGCCTTGGCTCCATTTTTAATTCAACAAACACTGACACCTGTTTCACATATCAATTCAGGAGCTTAAGATGTTATTTCAGTGTTCATTAAGATGTGATGCATATGCAGCTAGCAAGGCCAGCTGTCCCCAAGGCAGGCAAACCAGCTGCAGAAGGAAAGGAAAGGCCTTACCATGGGCTTGGCTTGCAGAGAGGTCTGTGGAATGTTGAGCATCTGGGGGGGGACATACGGTGGCACTATCCCAGGCATTCCAAACGGATTTGGTCTGGCTGTTTCATCAACACGGAGAGAAAACAATAAAACAACTGTGAGCAGAAGACACCTCCCCAGGACATTGTGGTGGCCAGCATGTGTCCCATCTGTCTTGTATGTCTCAGATGCCAACACACCACTGGTCCCACTTCTCAGAAACCTCTAGGAAATCATGTTTAACAGTAAAAAATATTTTATGACGATCAATTTTATATACTGAGACTAGATTTTTAACTTTCAAGAATCTTCAGTTAACTTTTGATAGTGTTTTTGCTTTTGTTTCCTTGATTGCCTAGTTAATCCATCGTTAACTGGCCAGGCATTCTCATTCACCTGTCTCTGCTCACTGCTGACAAACCCCGATCCCTGATACTGTAGCTCTAACGAACAAAACAGGGGCAGAACACTTCCCCCTCCAGCTGTGGAGCAACAGAACTTCTCTGTTTAAGCTCAAACGAGGTTCTTAGCTATTAGCAAGCTTTTAAATACAAAAAGTGAAATGTGGTCATTGCTGCCTGTACTTTGTTTTTCATTGTTAGCAAAACCATGATCAGGTGACACATTTTAACATACATTACAGAATCAGTAATGTCAGATGCTGTGTGCTCGAAGAACATGACTTTATAAACCTGTTCTGGTGTATGCTGGCATTTGTTCATTATCCTCATGCGTCACAGTGACACACAAAACAGAAGCCACATGGAGAAGCGGTTGCACACACAACATCAGGACTGGGTCCTGTGTCGGCTTTAAGATGTAACAACAGATCAGTCAACCTGACCAGCAGCCCCGATACTTCCACGTCCATAACCCTCAATGTCTCCCTACAGGTCTGAGGAGAAGTGGCCAGGTGGGTGCAGTCAGCCACACAAGCAAAGTCAGCAGAGTAATCTGCACCAAGATATTCAGTGACAAGGAGCATGGCCTTGTCAAAACCACTTTGTCACTTCTTCCCACCCACGAGAACTCATGAGCCTCGGAAGCCGCAATCCCTTGGAAGATCCTATCTCAAAGTGATTCACACTCAAGCTCATGGATGTCCTAGTCCTGTGACCTGGCTCACAGGGAGTAAGAGCTCAACCCATCTTTCACTTCCCGCCAAACAAGACAACTGTGGGACAGTAGCTGGAGACGATTATGTTGCCATGTCTACATATGGGGCTGACGGCACATGTACACACACAAGCATACATGTTTACCACATACACACTGGCATCACAAACACACACATACCACAGACATTCCTGATCAAACATTAAGTCTATAAACATTCAAACCTCCAAGTGGAAGACCCTGTAACTGTTAAAGTTTCTTCTCAGGTAAGAATATCATTAAATCCATTCAAGCTCTAATAATGTAATTTGAATCACTGTAAAAAGCCTAGTTTGCAATCTCTTGTAGCTGACCTACCACACTTAAACTCCTGAGCATACAAATGAAATGCTGAACGCAGCCATCAGCATTCCAATGAAGATGAACATTTTTGTTTCACTCTATTTTTGGCCATTATATACTATAAACTTTCTGAAAAGCACAAACTTTCCTTAAAACCAAAAAACCCCAAACTATATTAAAACTTAAAAGCAACAATTTCCAAGGAAAGAACATTTTCTAAAATCATACTGCAATCACTGACCTCAAATAAACCTTTGAGAATCCACAGAGCTAGTTACTATTCTATCATAACCTAGTCCAACTAGTGAATTAATGGCTCTCAAAGCTGCAGAAATGCCCAATAAGCCAGGGCCTGTCTGTGGGAACTTCACGTCTCCTGGTGTAAGCAGTTCTCATTCTCAAAGCCCTCGTGCAGCTCAGCGGAGCCACAGACTGTCTTCTATGTGACAAGGGCATCTTTCTCAGAACTGGCACTGACTCACGGGTGGAGGGTTAACACCACCAGTTTCTCGTTCTCCTCCTTTCACAAACACTATAGAGGCAGGCTTTGTTAGAAAAGTACATGGACTGAAGACAGAAGACAGGAGAAAAATGTTTAACATGAAAAATATTTTTCATAATCCAAAAATTATCTCTTAAATATTAAAGACCTCTTTGAGAATGAACAGCACCCACTGCAACCCTTCAGCTGTGCTTAGTGAGCTGTGCACTCAGGACGAGAAGACATATCATTCCACACCCACTGCCCCCAATTACTTACTCTGCCTGTATGAAGCTGTCCAGTTTTTCTCTAACTCAAAAGAGATTTTTTTAAAAGAAGGGTATTAACCAAGAACAAAAGCTCTACTGAAAGCTAGTTAGCCCTGCCTCAACCTAACAAATATTCATCTGTTACTGGACGTATTACTGCACATATTACTACAGAGATGCTACATTAAATAAAACAAACGGTAACAACGTAATATTTTTAAAAAATTCTATTTGCAGATGGGCGCTGATATGTGATTTTCAAGTGCTACTAAAAAAATATAGCTTTGAAAATTCAGATTCAAGGATTAAATAAATCCATATATTTTCTACCAACTAACTCTAGTTTTCCATGCTTGCAAACAACAAGGCAGAATTTTCCAACTACATTAACCATGCTGAAATGGATTTACGGTTGATCGCTGAACAGCACGAGCCTGAACTGCATGGGTCCACTTATATGGGGATTTTTTTCAATAAATACAGTCAGCCCTCTGTATCCTCCGGGGTTTCACATCCAACCAACCTCAAATGGAAAACTGTACTTTCAATCTGCAGTTGGGAGCCCACAGATGTGCTGTTCTAGGCCAGTGATGGCAAACCTTTTGAGCTCGGCGTGTCAGCATTTTGAAAAACCCTAACTTAACTCTGGTGCCGTGTCACATATAGAAATTTTTTGATATTTGCAACCATAGTAAAACAAAGACTTATATTTTTGATATTTATCTTATATATTTAAATGCCATTTAACAAAGAAAAATCAACCAAAAAAATGAGTTCGAGTGTCACCTTTGACACACGTGTCATAGGTTCGCCATCACTGTATCTAGGCCATTTAATACAAGCGACTTAAGCATCTTGGGATTTTGGTATCGGGGTGGGGGTTCTAGAACCAATTAATCCTCTGTAGATACCGAGGGATGACTACAATTGGGTTTTGAGGGAGTCAAGTTATATGGGGATTTTCAACAGCACAGGGGGTTGGCACCCCTAACCCCACACTGTTCAAGGGTCAAATAAATGTATTTACTCAGCATCAATATTCTATAGACGTTAAGGCACACGTAAAGTTATATTGCTACTGGCATTAGAGTTCTTGGGTTCCCCAAGCCGCAGAAAAATGTCCAGAGTTTATTACGCTTATGCTCGAGCACAAGGGAGGCAGCACAGAGGAGAGGAAGGTCCTCTGAACTGGCTTCATGGCTGGCTCTGCTTGGCTCTTTCATAAGCTGGTGGCAAAGTGGGCTGCGGGAAAAGGCAGACGTTCTGAAAAGGTGGCTTGTGGAATTTTTCATTTCAGCGTTCGGGTGAATTCCTTTTCCAGCTGCTTTGCCTGGTAATGACTTTGCACCTACGCTGAGGGGGTAGGATGGCAGAGTTCTCATTACTGCCACCCTAGAAAGGGCAAACAGCGGTCAAACCTTGGTCAACTGCACATTCGAATGGGTAGTTTAAGCAGGTAGCAGGGAGATAAAATCAGCTGCCCATGTTTCTGAGTAGGGAGTGAAAAGGTGGTGGCACTTTTGTGGTCCAGCGTTCCTTCTGGCCATCTGGTATCCTTGGGGTCCTGGGCCTGGGTCACTGTGCTATCTCAATCTGAAGGAGAATTTCATGTAATTCTTTCCATCCTCTCATAGATGAATAGCTTCTGAAGGCAGGCTGGGTTGGGAGCACAGTGGGAACCGACAGGAAACCAGAGTGGCCTATGAAGTTCGGTCTGACAGGCCGAGCCAGACTGAAGGCCAGGCAGGAAGGCAGAGGCCGGGAGGGAGGGGACTTTGGGGCAAGAGGACACAGGAGGCATCCTCAGCTTTTAAAGAACTGACGCTTGTAAGTTTCCAGTGAGCACCAACTCTCAGAAGCCCAGAGCTGGGCAGCTGATGGCTGCCCAAAGCTACAGTGCCAGCCAGGCCCCACAGGGAGACCCTAGGCCACTGTCCAGGAGAAAAGCCCTCACAACAGAAGCCAATACTACAGAGCTGAGAAAAGTCAGATCATGATAAAGCAAGCAGGCATATTCTGAGTGGCACCCGAAAGAATTACCAAATCAATCCAGGGAAGCACATTCCAGGTCAATGTAAACAAGAACTTTCTGAGAATTAGGGTGGATCGACGACAAGGGCTGCTCTGGCTGCTTGACTGTGGGCACAGGAATGTTCCACGCCAAGAGGGGGCCTGAAGCTAGTACAAGCACCCCTGGCTTTTTATGACCGAGTTTGGATAGCGCACATGTGGACCTCACAGGATACAGTATTAAGTCCACTTGGTGCCTGAATCTTGAATAGCATGAGCCTGGGTAGTGACAGATTCATCCCAAATTGTATTCAAATCTATTCAATTCCAGGGCTCACTGAATCAGAGTTTGAATCATAGGTGTTTAATAGCAAAAGGTTCTTGTGCTTCCACTGACTGAATAAAGATCCAGAAAGTAGAAAAGGACACAATTCTCACTTAACCACTTACGTGGTTTCACAAGTCTATGATAAAACAGGACAAATCTGTTACTGTCTATCTGTGTATTTTAGAAAAGCAAACCTAAAACCACAGCCTAATGGTCTTTATTTGGAAGACACTGGTGAGTTGAACTGGCATTCCTGCTCGCGGGAACACACACCTTGCAGTCAAACCAGACAGCAGCCAAAAGGAAGATGTATTTTCACATCTTCCAAAATGACCAAACTTTCAATAAACCATAAGACTAGACAGTGTGTATCACTTCAAACCACATCAACTAAAATAAACTCAGTAAAAACTGAATGAAAGGTCACGGGAACAGATTGAGAGAATTCGATGAGCCCAAAATGATCTGCCTGCGGATCTAAGAGAAAGAATATCTTTGCTTTCCTCTGGCAAGTCTACCCTGTCAGACCCTGAG